TATATATATATATATATATATATATATACATTTTGACCCAATTGTGAGAAACTCGACATGGCTAAAAACCTGACCTTAGGGAATTCACGTGCATAAGGGGAAAATGGGGCCGGCAAAAAACGTCAAAGGCACCAGTACAGGTCAGGAAACTGAAATACGTCAGACTAGTACTCACTGCCGTAGCAGGCATCGCGAGTGAGGAAGTCGCTTTTCTCTAGGCTCATGCGCCAGTGACTGATGTGATATTCGACCACCTTGCCATTAGGTCTCTGTGGTGGATGCCAGGAGAGCTGGATGCTTGCAGGACCGGCGGAAACGGCACGGAGGGCCGTAGGAGGTGATGGAGCTGTAAAGAGAAGATCGTGCACATATCAGTAACCCTACCGTCAGAAAAATTCCTCCGATTTAATATCCAGATTTTTCCGGCTGGGGCGGACACCAGTAGGACAAAGGAAATCATATGGTGGAGTAACAGCGGTACGAACAACAATTTGGCGGCAGAGGCATCTGTAAAAACTGCGGTAGAACTTGTAACCTTTGTAGTAACTATAGTAGCGAAGGTTATAAGAGCACTTAGAGCAACAGAATAGGTGAAAAGTAGTAGTAGTAGTAGTAGTAGTAGTAGTAGTAGTAGTAGTAGTAGTAGTAGTAGTAGTAGTAGTAGTAGTAGTAGTAGTAGTATTAGTAGTAGTAGTAGTAGTGGTGGTAGTAGTAGTAGTAGTAGTAGTAGTAGTAGTAGTAGTAGTAGTAGTAGTAGTAATAGTAGTAGTAGTAGTAGTAGTTCGTAGCAGGTGCAGTTTTGATGCCGCTTTATAAGCAGCGGAGACCACTGCAAGAACGAGAAATGGCAGACCGACAAAAAGCTGGATACTCACTTGCCGGCTTAGTAGTAAAATGGAAACGCCGACTACGAGCTCCCTCGTGCTTGCTCAAAGTTGCAATCGTGATGAAGGCGGAATAGGAAGAGGCAGGTGACAGGCTGTCCAGGCTGCAGGTCAGCATCTCCGGTTCCGGAGCACTTTTATCACTGGCATTTGTCCTTGAAGGGGAGCTTAGGGCTGGCGGCGGCGACGACGACTGTGCTGGAGGTCTGCAGTTCAACTCCACTTCATTCCAACTAAAATTGGAGGAACCCTGCTACGTCACTTGTCTCCGTCGATTTCTAATTTTTGCCGACTTGGAACTCGCACATTTCTATCAATTTTTTTTATCCTTGTTGCCTAGATATGGGCGTGTTCAGTAAACGTAATTCGCTTATAGTGCGGCTAGTTACTACGGCGCGATTCTGCCGTCAGACGAAATTTTTGGGGCTGGGCAATTGTTCGATAACTACACACTCTGGAAAATGCTAGTAGGAGTCGCAAGCTTCCTGTGGGCGAGGTTTGATCCTGCGGGCCCACTTGATTGATGTCATACGGTTAGCTTGTTAAGGCTTATAGTATGAGTCCCAAGGCACAAAGGAACGAGCATGTTCCGCAACCAGATCGGTGAGCGCCCACTATCATAATTAATATTCCCGATCACAACCGACAGGACAACGGGCCCGTGGCTCAATGGTAGAGCGTCAAACTCCATGACCAAAGATCCCGGGTTAGAATCTCAAGGGGTCCACACTTGGGGTTGGGTATGACTGGCTGATGACGGCTAATAAGCCAGAAATGGCCATTTCGGTCTCCCTTGTCTTTGTCGGCTCCATCTCATCTGTGTCTACTACTAGTCACTGTGCGACTGCCTGCGAGGCTTCTAGTATGAGCCCCAAGGCAAAACGGAATGAGTATGTACCGTAACCTGATCGGTGAGCGCCCACTGTCATAAATGATATTCCCGATAACAATAGACAG